GACTCTGGCTTTAAGGATCTGTGATTTGGGGAAGCTCAGTCTCTCTACTCATAACTTCTCTTTCACAGAAAAAAATGCCTTTCAGGAGTCATTTCTAAAATGTCTTTTAATTTTCAAATGTTTTAATTCCTCCCTTGCAAGCGCAGCTCTTTGCTTTCGTGCACCATCTAATAACACACTGCAAATGTGCTTCCAAACAGCCATTTCTGAGTGTGCAATATCAACATCTGTACTAAAAACAAGCAGAAATCTTTCCCTGAAGCAATATTTTGCTCAGTATTATTGTTACTTTTTTTTTTATTTAATGGTTTGCTACCATGGGAGCTCTTCAGCCTCTCGATTTTGGGAAATTAAGGCTCTCTGCTTCTCCCTCCTTGTTGAAGACACCCTGGCAGGTGAGCCCATCATCACTCTTGTCCCACCTGCTAAAAAAGCTTTACTGAGTGTTCACTAAAACTATGTAGCACTGAAGCACCTCACTGAACTGGGGGCCTGATATGCAGCAGGTTGGCAAAATTAGTTGATTAGTGTTTGTACAGGATTTTGAACTTCTCCTGTTAAGTAGATGTGAATAATAAAAATAATATTAATGTATTATTATTGTTATTGTTATTCTGACTCTCTCTCATACCAGTGATGAACATTTCCCTGTGCATGTATTTAAGCTATCCAATGTGGGGTGCTTTGTTCTTAATTTTGATTATTTTAAGAGTCCTTTAGCACATCAAATAGTCTCCCTAGATAAGGATTTATAGGAAGGTCTTGAGAGCTATCAGAGTAATGTTTTTCTAGCAGCAAAAACTTAACCTCCTCTTAGATCTTCATTTCTGCTTTGTCCTGGGTGTAGCTGCAGCGGGTGTTCAGTCACAACCATCAGGATGAAGATGTGTTGTCAGTTGTTTTATTTTTGATCCCATTTGAATGTGTCAGTCAACTGCCTCGAATCAAAGAAAGTGAGAAGGAGCCTTTAACAGTTGTGATTGGAAACTTCAGACTTACCTTTTTTTTTTTCATTTTTATAGACACTAACTAAATGCTTGGCAGGTTCTTGTGAATCATAACATTTCTAAATATATCAAAGAGGCTCTTTGCCAAGCTGCTGGTGAAGGTGGTGTCTATTCCTATTGACTCCTTTTTCCCCTTCAGATTACTTTATCATTTAATAATTTCAAATCTTAATGCAAAAAAAACCAGGGACTCTTAACTAGGCTGGCTAACATCGTGATTAATGAAAGTGTAATGTGAGCTACTGTACAGCCATTAGAAACCAGTTAGCTAATTAGTGTAATCACAGGGGTGGAAATAATTAAAAGACCATAAAATAGAGGTAACCTAATAACAACATTTTCCTCTGACCCAGAACTGGTGAGAAGAGGGTGGTTTGCTGGGTTAGGAGCAGAGAGGAGTGGAGATGGAAGGTTCTGTGAGTAATCACTGTCAAGGAGGTCTCGGGGCACAGACAAATAGAACAGAGTAGATTTTACACCAGCATAATCCAGACTGCAGCAGCACTTCACACCACTGCACCCCTCTCCCATCTTATGCTTTGTCACAAATTTAGTGACAAATTAATCAAGACATGGGTGAGGCAGGATCCAGCTGGTTTGGTCTTTTGTACTTTTTTGTTCCCTTTCCTCCTTACCAGGTTATTAACAAATATAGTATTAAAACTTCCTTCATATTCCCTGAGTCCACCAGGTTTGGTTTCAGGAAAGGAGGAAATCAGTGTCCTAAGGTGCTTAAGAAGAAAATCCTGTTAGAGGATTCCCTATATTTATAGAGCTTCTAATGTATTTATGTATGTTATTCACTGTAAGTTTCACAAAACTCTGCAGCTTGTTCAAAAATCTCTTGCTAAGAGGAAAGAGCCTTTCTGGGCAGAGGGGAGTGGTGCAGTGACTGATGAGGGTGACAGTCACTGCCAGAGCTGCTCCCAGGAGCTGGTGCCAAGCAGATGTGCCCCCCCACTCAACCCTCACCTGCAGCCTTTGCACTCAGGTTGGTGCAGACAGCCCAAGCCCTTTGGGCAGTACCAGCACACTATTGTGGTGGTGAATCCAAAACAGCCCCCAAAATGTGTGCCCTGGTGCTTCTCTAAGGGGTCTCCTATGCAGGACTGTTCAGGTTCATCTCTTGTTAATGAGAGATGGGGGACGGTGTGATGGGCTGGATCTCACCCCTGCTGATTAGAAGTGACCTACCTCTGGCTGTTAGGTGAAATAGCTCCACGTAACAGGCAATAAAAAATCCTAACTGGTAATTTTCCACTTGGGATGGGTCACCACTATGGCCATCTCCATCGGTTCTTATCATTTCTGCCACGGTTTGTGTGTGTTTCATTTGACCTGGGTCTAATGAGCAGAGAAGACTGAACAGTAGCTGCAGACACACAATCAAGGATCAGCCGCCGGAGCTGATGAGTCTGCCGAGACTGCTAAGTGGGTCTTCATTAGCTATTCACATGCAAAGAGCAATCCTTATTTATTCTTCTTTCCTAGGTGAATCTATTTTTGAATATCTTTTCTGCTGATCTTGTCTGGGGGGTGGGAGGTTGGATGGAGGGTACCACTCTGCCGATTAACCAGATGATTGTCCTGAAAAAATAAGAGTGTGACACCAAGTTGGCAGCAAGTTGAAAAGAAGAAACAATGTGATGCCATTTAGAGAAAGAAGGAATCATTTTCCCCTGTGACTTCTCTGGTGGGAGGCAGAACTTTATCTTCTCTTTGCAGCTCAAATGAAGCATCACAGCAGTAGCATTAACTGTGCTTTCACGCTCCCAGTTTGTCTTTTCATTAACCTTATGTGTTTTTTTATTGCTGTAGCAGGGAACACGCTTTCCAGGGAGGGTTTGCAGGGGAGTCACTGGAGCTGCAAGCCTGGGATGTCCCAGGCAGGTCCCCAGGCTGCACATGTGATGTTATTGCAGCCAAGGGGATGAGCTGGTGGTCTGTGCTGCTGTACGTGAGCTTGCAGTGAAGAAGGGAAACCTGACGTGTGTCTACAAGTCTGCTGGAGAGGGGGTTTTGGAGCAGCAGGTCATGGTGAGCCTTGCTCCAGGTGCACTTTTGTCCTGCCAGCTCAGCCGTGTGAATCACATCCTGGGACATCCTCGAGGATGCAGACGGGTCAGTCCTTAGCCCTTGGCAGAACCAGCGGCTTCTTGAGAGAAAGGTGCCTCTCATCTGCACAACCCCTTTTTCCACACTGGGCATTACTTAAATGTTCTCATTTAAGCATTTTCTAAAAGCCGTGTTCCCGCGGTGCTGGGCCGGTTGGGTGCGGATCCTCTCGCCCTCCCGGCCGCATCCGCCTGTGGCGAAGGCTGCCCTCTCCCGACACGCCGAGTATCCGAGGGATGCGGTGGCTGAGCCGGGGCCCAGCACCCTCCGCCAGCACCAGCCCTGTCCCCGCTGCACCGTGCACAGAGCAGCGATGTCCCGTCCCAGTGGGCACAGATGATCCCCCGAGGTGGCCTGGCCCCATCACCAGCTGCCTCTGATGCTGGATCCAACCTGCATCCCCCTCTGGCAGCAGGAGAGTCCTTCTTGAGGAACCACCCAGAGCACTGCACTCCTGCAGATTTCCATTTTACCACACCAATCCCTGCCCTTCCAAACCTGCCCAGTACCTTTTTCTTCACGTTTTGTTTTTTATGGTCTGGTAGTGTAGGCGCAAGTACCGTACTCCTCTGAGTTGTCTTTTCCCAGCTGAGTCTATTTGTGCTGCAGACTGTGTGGGTGCCACCCTAGGAAAGCCACACTTAGCAGCGTGTTGCTCCAGGAAAGCACTTTTATATGAACAGGGATGTGAGACAACCACTTGCACCTCTGGGCTTGGCAAACAGCTGATCCATGAGAGATTACTTTTTTTTCCCCCCCTTGTGATTTTGACCTTATTTGCTGAAAGTGGAACATCATTCAGCCTTCCAGGAAATGCCACAAGTCTTCAATCTGACATGAGAACATAAATCTTCTGTAAGAGTTCATCCATTCTGCATCTCGGGTCTCTGGAACTGGGCTGTGGACATGGGAGTGGGAATCTCAGCATCCTGAATCCAGGGCTGCAGAACCTGAGCCCCTCCACTTCCCCAGCCTAGGGAAAAACATTCCCATAGGGTCAGGCCCTTACTGAGCTGGTTCTACAGCAGTTCCTCATGGAAAAATTGGGATTTTTTTGGCTTGAATCACCTTGACTGTGTTAATTTTTTGTAGGACAGGTGAAACCCTTTCCCTCCAGTTCTGTGGATCTGGCTGAAATAAAACACAGCTTTACAGCTCAGAGTAACCCAGCTCTCCGTGCTTCAGACTCCCCTAATCCCCTCCTAGAAGAGAGCTCAAAGGCTGTAGCATTGCTGAAGTCTCAGGCTCTGCACACCACGCTCAGCAGTGCAGCCCCAGCTCACACCTCTGACAGCACATTTCCTGAGCACAGTGCCTGCACGTCCCTGACCTTACTGTGCAACCAACTTTTGTGGGTTATGCCTCCCCCTGCTATTTTGGGGGACCACAGAGGCCTTTCCGGGAAGGCTGTAGGGCAGCCGTGGGGCTCCTGTGCAGTTCATTGAAGGTAAGAGGTTATTTGTGGGACAATGTGGCTCTGCATCTTTCCACCTCCCACCCACCACGAGGGGTTTAACAGACATCATTTTGCTCGTGAAGTTCATGCTTTTACATCCACACTGTTCCGCCTGGGGTGCAAACCTCTTTACTTTGCAGGTCATTCCCAGAGCAGGGCCCCTCAAGCCTCACTGGACCCAGGGAAGGACTCACCCTCCTTTGCACTATGCTGTGTTTCCCTCGGGATCAGTTCAGTGACATTCCCAATCCCCATTGTGCTGGGGATTATGCATTTAACTGAACCCACAAAGACACCTCTTCAAAAGCCCCAGAAAACTTAAATTTCCATTTTTTTCTGCCTGGACCACCTTTCCTTGTTTTACCACTAGATGGGAGAGTGAGACTGAGCTAACTGAGGTGCTCCCATCCTTATCCCGGTAGGAATTCCGAGGGGAGAAGACTACTGAAAGATGCCTGTGGGTCATCCTGCAAATCCTCTGACCTCGGGAAGGGAGCAGGTAGCCCTCAAAATGCCTGGTTGTTTCCTAATCCTAAAAGTGCGTGGTTAGGGGGGACTAATGCTTGCCTGGTGCTTTCACAAAATACCAGGATGCCAGTGGATCCCACTCTGGAAGGGGGATTCACTTACACAAAGACTGGGTATATTCTCGGGGTGAAATATTTCATATTTTTTCTCCTATCCACCTGTCCCGGAGCAGAGGGAGATAGGGGAAACACTTGCAATTCATTCCTCTCATCCACACCCCAAATTCTGTTTCCCAGGAATCTGAGTGATCCCAAAAATTGTCTGGGGAGGTAAAGAATCACAGAAACACAGAATCACAAAATGGTTAGTGTTGGAAGGGACCTCTGGAGATCATCTAACCCAACACCCAACAGGTAAATGTAAATAAAGCAGCATTTTCTCCTCCTTTCCTTCTACAGGATTTTCTTCCTCCTATAGGATTGTTGTCTAATGATACTCCCAGTGAGAAAATAAAACTGGTCTATTGCAATGATTGTACTTGCAGGAGGAGAATTCATGCCCTGGTCCAACACCACTCACCTCAGGAGCTGCTTTGGGTGAGGAAGGGGATGGCACCCAGTTCATTAATATCTTAATAAATTTACTTTCACTGCAGCACTTCCCATCCCCTGAGACCTCCCAAGGTTTTGATGAAACTGGGTATATTCAGGAATTATATAGCTGTAGAAGCAGTTTCTCAGCCAAATCCAATTGTCTAGTTTGACTATTTTTACTATTACTAGGTTTGGGACTTTAAAGAGGAACATTTCTACTTGCTTCCTGAGATTTCACAGATTCCAGAAGAAATTTCACAGGAGACAAATTTTCTGACTGCCTGTGTGACTACATCAGAACATGTCATCCCTGTAGAGTGGAAATAATCTTTTGTGGGGGTTTTGCTTTTTGCTCAAACTTCCTAATTTGCAAACTCTTTAGAGAAGTGACTCAACTGATTTTCCCAATGCCTGGCACAGTTTGGTAATGAGATGAAATAATTCTAATAACTTCCCTAACTGCAGTGCCCTTGTTGCCTCTGTTGTTGTCTCTTGGCTTTGCCTGCACAGAAAATATCTGTCATTATCCTGCTAGACATAAATAACAGCTTCTTTGGAAGACAGAGATTGTATTTTTTACTGGACCTATCTACTCTTATTTTCCATAAGCAACAGCCACCCCACCCTGTGTGTGCAATGAGGCCACTGAGTCACCAGCATGAAGCAGTGTCCAGCTCATACATCTCACCAGGGAGGACCCAAAATCCCCTCCAAAGAAGAGAAGAGACATCTTTCTTCAGATGATAATTAGAGGTGAAAAAATGTAGCCTGGAAGCAATCAAAAAAAAAAAAAATAGACATTCCAGACCTGGCAGGTCCAGGGCACATCTCCTTGTGCAAAGGTTTGCATGGGCCACCCAGGGCAGAGGAGTCCCATCCCTGGAGGGATTTAAAAGACATGTGTCACTTGGGGAAATGGTTTAGTGTGGGCTTGGCAGTGCTGGGGGAATGGTTGGACTTGATGATCTTAAGTGGCTTTTCCAGCCTATGGTTCTAAATGATTCTGTGATTCTGCCTCCTCCTGAGGGGCATTTTGAGCTCCCAGCTGAGCTCAGAGTGGGGCAGGTGCTGGTGAAGTACATGGGAAGTGCTCCACGGGACTGAGACATCTTTGGAGGGGCAAGAGGCAGCTGTGTGATGGTAAGCACAGAGCACAGATTAACAAAAAACTATTACCAGGGTGAACATCAGCCCCAGGACACCAAGGCATCCCCAGACAGAGGGCTCTGCACAGCAGGAGATGTTGACACTCTCCCTGATGGTACCCATGGTGAAATCCAGCCCTGATGAAATCCAGCAGGCCAACCTCTCCTGTAGACCTTGATCCTGCAAGAGGAACTACAGGGATGGATTTTCAAAGTCAGCCAGAACCAGCTGGATTGAGGCCTTATCTGAGATAGCAATAAAATTAGCCACGTGATTTCTTTTCCATGTTTACAGTGGCAATATTTTTCCAAAGTTCAAAGTCTTCCTCTGCAGGAAGCATGTGATATGCTTTGCAGTCACACCATATTTTGGTGCTATGAACAATTAAAAAAATCAATTTCCGGAGCAATATTTTCTATGTTTGTAATCTCTGAACTAATTACAGGGCTGGAAAATCAATAGCTATCTGGAAATCTTTCCAATACAGCTAACTAAGCATGCTGCATATCATGGTGGAATATATTCTTCACAAACACATGCTGCTCATGACCATCTCCCAGATCACACAGGCAGATGATATCACTGTTAATAAGCCCCTGTGCTTCACTGCACTGCAATGGCAGCATTTACCAAAATCTGCAGGGGGGATTGGGCAGAGCAAATAGCACAGTACATGAGAGCTGGAGCAATGATTCTGCCAGCATTTTAAGCCAATGACAAAAACAGTTGAAAGACTCATTTAGTTCAACAGGAACCTACAAAAAGATTATGAAATAAAGTCATTAAAAGTTCATGCCTTAGTTATAATGTTGGGTTTTTTTGTCATGCTGTATTAAAATAAGAAGTAAAACCTTTGGTGACTGAAAATAACCTCTTTGTCTAGTTTCCTAGTAAGAGAGAAGTGGTGTTAAATGGGTAGTTTGATGGTGATTATACATCAAAAACACACGTGAAGAGGAAGGGTGTTGCTCTGATGGATGGATCTCCTCTTGCTGTACAAACACACTCTGTTGACCATGGCAGCTCAGTTGGAGCCAAAGCTCAAACCCTTGTGCTGATGCTCTTCACTGCTTCCCACACACACTGCAGGCATTGCTGGGATCTTCTCCAAGATGCTGCCACCTCCCTCGTGCCCTGCAAGAGCTCAGTGTGCTCTTCCTTGGTATGCTGGATTTTGTGCTGCTGCTAAATGAAGAGGAAATATTCCCATTGGACACGGTGCCAGTAGCACAGCAAGTGGATAAGAAGCACATACCACAGTACAGGGGATTTTCCCCAGGCTCCCATTTGCACTCCTGCTTGGTACAAGAAAGCAATGAATTCTGAGCTGTCAACAAGCCACAAAATATTTGCTCTGATTTTATATGTTTTTCTCTGATTATTCTTCATAGCTGTTTTCCCCCCAATGAATTGAAATCTCTGCCCTCACTCCCTCCCCAAGTTGGGAGATTCCTGCAGTTCTCCAAGTTGGTGATCCTCATCCTGGAGTGGAACTTTGGGTCTAGCAGCCCATGAGTTAAGGTGCAGCATGTACCTTGTCCCAGCCCTCATCTCAGGAGACAGGCTGTGATGTATAGTCCCTCCTAAATAATTTGGCAGGTTAGTTATACCCAAAGAATTTAAATTGGAGCTGGACAGGATGCATGTAGTGATCTGGATTGGAACTATTGTCATTATTAATTTCTGTTTGCATTTCTGTAGCACTCCCATGTGCAGATGAGGATCTCCTGTGCCTGGTGCAGCACACTGGTACAGAGAAAGGAGCCCTTTCTGTCAGCTCCAGGCTGACAGCCTGCCTAGAACAGCAAGCCCAAACCTGAGAGGGGCTGGGGGTGTTGATGGCAACAGCACCCAAAACACACACTCCAATGGTGTGGCTCTGCTAATCTGGGCTGTTTCCTGCCAAGAAGCAACAACTACAAAAATATTGTGCTTATCATTACCACAGTAAAAGTTTCTCTTTTAACTTCCTAGGCTGAAATGACCCTGATGGTGACGCAGAGCTGTGGGTGCCACGCATTGCTCAGACTCTGCAGGACCAGACCTACAGCTGCTGCACTAAATTTCAATGTCTTCTCTTCAGATGATGATGTCTGTGGACTTTCCTATTTTTCTTGCCAATCTAATGTCATATTTCCTTCAAATAAAACTCGGTGTGTGAGAACTCACTTCTGTTTCTCTCTTAGGAAAGGAAGGCTGCCCTGTCTGTGCATCACCTAACAGGAAAGACCTCAGGACAAAGAGCTCAGACCCTCCAGAAATCTTTCAGAGAGAAGCTCCAGCTCTCCCTTATCTCTTTTAAAGTTAACACATCACACTTTGTACATGCTCAGCAACAAAGTTCCTAATGTTGTTTCCCGATAACCCAGAGGCCCGGGACAGCAATGCTGTTGCTGTTTCATAGAGGGCGAGAGCGGGACACTTGCTCCCCTGGCTGCCGACAATCAGCACTTTGTGAACATCCCACACTAGAGGTTTGCACAGAGATTATTGGGTTTCACAGCCACCAAAGCATGTGTCACCCATGAATTTGTATAATTATTCCTCAAATACAGTTACACTTTTGGCTCTGCAATGCCTCCAGTATCAGTTGCTGCTGTTTAATCAGGAGCTGCTTTAAACCTTCTACCTCATCCTTTCATTTACAGGATCCTTTGCTCTAGTAATAATAAAGGTAGCTCACAGAGTTGAGCAGAATGGATTCTGATGCTCCAGCTTGCAAAGCCAAGGGGTCTTACAGAGGCAGGATAACACAAAGTCTGGTAAAAACCCAGGGAGGTACTTTCAGAAGTTCATTTCCCACTGCAAGCCAGCAACCAGCCACCACTCTTGAAAAATCCCATCTTTGTTTGTTGTTTACTGCGTTTCCTGTGAATGAATTTCTGGCTCAAATTAGAGTTGTAATAAAACTCTAAAAAAATATTATTTTAGAAAAAACCTTAGATCTGTCCTTCCGTCCTGGGGATTTGTTGCTTGTTCTGCAACAGGAGATGTGAATCATGGAAGTATCTATAACAGCAATATTAGGAAATGACCATTCAGGCACCAGAGATCTGTATCAGACATTATGCCTTTAAATAAATTGTCTGTTACTATGTTAATCTAATCTTGTAAATACATGCACACTTAACTATATTAAAAATGTAAATGCTCCCAGAACTGGACTTCACATGATGAACGTGAACTCCCCTTTTTAACTTGCCAGCTCTGCAGATCTTGGAAAAACAAGGATTGTTCAATTTGATGGGCATTAATAAGGTTGATGTCTGCACAGATTTAGCCAAAAGATTGTCACGATCATCTCAGGCTCCACGTGGCTTACAGGCCTGAACTTGAAGAAACATCTTTCAACAGCCGCTGGTGACGGAGCAATTCCAGCTCTGGGAGCACCTCCAGCCAACTGACTTCCCTTCTGTGGCACTGAATTTGCATCCATTAAAACCAGAGTTTTAATGAGTCATGGAGATTTATAAAAAATGGCAGCCCAGAGCTGCTGACACTCCCAAAGCTTCTGACAGAAGTACAACACACCATAAACCCTGGTGTGAAATACTGAATGAAAACCAGTGCAGGTATATCTGCAAGTGTTAACATGACTCATAAAATCAGGGATTTAGGGAAACTAAAATTATTGGTGCACTCCAAACTTGAGGAGATAATAATACATATAATGAGAATAATATAAGAATGTTAGTAATAACACTGCTAATATGATTACCAGTCTCCTTGTCATTGTTTATTACCATCACTGCCCTGATAATTCTCAGCTCTAAGAATGGACAGAGGCAGAGATTCCCTCACGCTTTCAGAAACAATCTCTGTGCTTTGGGAAACAAATTCCAGCTTCTCCTATTCCTTAGAACAGCTACCAAGATCCTTAGGATGAGGCCAGTCTGGGAAGACTCTGGAGGAGCCTTCTGCCACTCAAACAGCAAGGCGTGCATTGGCTCACACTGAGTGCCGGGGGCTGTGAAACCTGAGTTTAAAACAAACTTCCCCCTGGGATAGGCTCCTTTTCATTTACAAGTGAATCAGCAGAGATGGCAAGGCTGATTTGCCATGCCACTGCCCAGCATCTTTTAAAGATTTTGTAGGAGACAGCTTGCTTCCAGGCGACCTCTGTGCTGCCTTGCCACACCTTCTTCCTTGGATACCTTATCACAGTTGTTATTAGCTCATGCAAATCCACAGCACGAGCTCCTTATCTTTACATCTCTCTCACCCAAGAGGTAACCTATTTTGAGATGCTGTACGAGGAATCACCAATAACTAAGTAAAAAAACTGTTCTGCACCTCTGAGGACAACTTCACCCAAGGCAGGGTGGACCAAAACATATGTGGAGAAGTGAGCTGAGCTGAGGAGCAGGGATGCATCCCCCTGCAGCCAGAGCAAATGATGACTGCAGCTCTGCACAGTTGAACAGGAAATGTGGGGGGATTCCCCAGCTCGGACACTTTTGATGCATTGCTTCACCTTTGTGCATTTGTTTTCCTTTCCACTCTGTTTATTTAAAATATAAATGGTTTGAAACAGGGCCTTACTCATCAGTAATTATACAGCACCAGCCAAAACAGCGCCCTACCCTTATTGTGGAGGAAATGATCTGTATATAATAAAGCAACATGAGTGTGTGTACATGGAGCAAATGCTTCCTGGTTTTCCTGACCACACCACGCAAACAACGGACTCTCCTACACTTCATTTTGCAGCTCTCAATTTAACCCAAACAAGCAAGAATCCCATTCACTCTCAGCTCCAAGGGGCACAGCAAGGATGGGACAAAAAGGCAGCACCTTTCAGCTCTATTCTGAAGCCACTGCTTCAGAGGAGGAGGAGGAGGCAGTGATGTGAGCAGCATCACCACAGCCCTGGATGAACCTTGGTGAGCTGCTGAGTCTGCTTCTGCTTCGGCTCCTGCCCCAGCTCTCAGTTCCTTGTGTGTCCCTGAGCTCCAGCAGCAGCTGTGGGAAAGGTACAACACTGCTGCCCCTGCACTGAGCAGAGAGGGGACTGCAGGGCTCAGCATGGTGGCTGGATGTCAGATGTCTGCCCACGCCTTTGCCCTCCTCCAAAGGGCTGGGCTTTTCCATTACCCAGGTTATCCTGCGCACTCCGGGAAATGGAGCACTGATTGCACTTTAAAAGCTAAACATGCAGTGCCTGAATTATTTATCTCTGAACATGCAGAAACGGGCCAAATTCCCAAGTGATGCGGAACAGCTCCTGTAAAAAATGCAAAGGGGGCTGCAAAGGCTTCACGGGTGGGCAATGCAGGAGCTGCACAGTCAGAACCTCACACGTGCACGTGTAACATCTGCTGAGATTCTTCCTGACAAGGTGGTTTGTGTGCTGGAGGGGGTGGAGTGCTCAGTTGCAGGTGCTGGTCTGGAGACTCATCTGTGGAACTGTGCAAGGGCCCTCTCTGTACCTCAAACCAACCACTGTGACAGTAGGTCCCCAAAGAGCAAACAAAAAGGCTCAAACAAACGCGTTAATGCAAATATAAGGGGTTCAGGGTGTCCCACAACGTTCCTGCTCAGCCCCCTCAGCTCTGGAGGGGTTGTGCCTCCTCTGCAATCATTAACTGAGCCATGCCCAGCCTGACAGTGCCTGGCACGATACCGTAACCACACAGATAGCGCCGTGATAGCTGTGTTTGTGCTCCAGGTTCAATAATGCCCCTGCATCTGTCCCTGCACTTTCCCTTCCTTTTACTCTAGCTCAGCTCCAGCAATACCTGGAGGAAAGATGAAAATCCTGCCTTTGCTCTCTGTCACCACAGACACAGATGCAGCTCTTTCAGCACTGTTGCATGGATGCACCCCAGAATTTCTCCATGAGCATCCCGGGGGTGCAGGGAGGCTGGTATAGCCCCGGGACGAGGATGGGCAGCCCGAGCCCTGTCCGGGGGCTGCATGTGCCGGGGGAAATCGGGCGGGTTTGATATGATGCAGAAGCCCTTAGCAGGGCTAAGGGTACCTGCTTCTACCCCTGCTCCTACCTTACCCTTACCCCTACCCATAACCCTACCCCTAACCCCAATCCTATCACTGTTCCCTTCTTACCCATCTTCCTCTCGCTCCCCCATCCCTCTCCCCATCCACCTCTTGCTATCCCTCTGCCCCTTTACTCCCCTCCCGCGCAGGACCCTCTCCTTGCCCTTCCTCTCCCATCCCGTCCCTCTCTCCCCTCCCTCCCGTCCCCCCTCCTCTCTCTCACCCCCTGCCTTATCCCACTTTCGCTTCGGCCTCAGTTTCCCCACCATTGGCCCGTCGCTGTCCGCGTCCGTCGCCGATTGGAGAAGGTGCCCCGTCCGTCAGGATCGAGGTGCCCGCCCCGGGGATCGCGGGGCGGCGGAGCAGAGCGGCGGCGGCGGAGGCAGCGGGCAGGTACGGCACCGCACGGCACCGCCACCGGCACCGCACCGCGGCACCGCACGGCGCGGGGGCGCGGGGAGGATGAGGGGCGGGGGCTGCCCGGCGAGACCTCCCCGCCACGGCAGGACCTGCCGGGAGGTGCCACACGCGTCTGCGGGAGCGGCGCGGGGGAGCCCCGAGGAGACGGGGATGGCGCGGGCATCCTTGGGGCCGTGAGAAGCCCCGCGGGGGGATGAGAGCCCGCGGGGAATGAGGAGCCCGCGGGGGATGAGGAGCCCCGCGTGGGGCAGGGGGGGCTCGGGGCTGGGATGAGCTGTGCGGGGAGGCAGCTCTTATCCCAGGCGTGCGGGCTTTTGTGTGCGCTCGGTGGGTCGGGGAGCAGAGCTCGGGGTCTGTGCCGGCAACAGCCCCGTTGATGCTATGGAGGGGGGAGAGAGTCACCGAAATGGCCCAACTCATTGAGATTTTCCGCTTGCGATGGTCCCCGAGGATGCTTCAAGCCTGTAACTGAAATTTGTTCGAACTGATTCACTGCGGTTTGGGCTTTTCCTTTTAGCGAAACCGTGTCTTTCTATGGTAAATTAAAAAGATGCTGAGAAAAGGCGGAAAGTAAGGAAAGATAGTAAAGTGGCATGGCAAAAGAATCCTTGCAACAAGAAAAAAATGTTATGTTAATGATAAAATAATCCCTGTTTCACAGGGGCAGTAACTGAAGTTAGAGAAGGAAGTACCAAGCAGGATGCTGAGCAGAACTGGAGCACTTTAGTCACTTGCCCTATATTACTTTTAT